GGCAGACACCCTGTTCAGTTCAGTTAATTCAGCAAGGACACAGAAAGATTTTTTTATTAGTTTTTTTTTTCTTTAGCAGTAGAAAAATTGCAGCCTGAGGGCATGTTGCTTTGACAGATTGGGGTTATATGGTTGAAGCTGACCTACGCAGCTCCCTTCCCCTTCCCCCTCCTGGCAGGCAGGGTGAAGCACATATGATTGGAAGTGGCTACTCTTATTTTGCTCTTTATCTGATAGAAGGCCACCACAGCAGTCAAGAAGAGCTTGTTATAGATTTTGCTTTTCCTGTGAGGGATATTTGAAAGCTCGGTGAAGAACCTGTAGAAATAAAAGCCAAGATATTTTGGCTGTGTGGGAGGGAAGCATTTAATCACAGTGAAGAATAGGGGATTGCACAGTCAAATAAGCAGCTCTTGGCAGATTTTAGAGACCAGCAGTGAGTAAGAAGGGTGCATCGAATAGGAGTGTAGGAAAACATAAATGGAAATGGACTGAAGAGAGATAATGGCATCATATTTAGATTCTGTCACTTTATCAGAATTATGTTGACTGGTTATTAGCAAAAGAGAAGGAATTATTTTTTTAGAGGAAGAAGGGTTTCATTTCCCCTTCATTAGCTGAGGAACCTGCTGACAGGAATTAAGGCAGAATATTACTAAACAGGGGCTTCAGCCCCTCCCTCCTGTCTGCAAGAAGGGGTTATTTTTAACCCAGATCTGCTCAGTGACTGCATTTGCAGCATGGCCCTGCAAAAAAAAAATCTCTGCTGGCAAAACTAAGGCTGCTTTGTGCTGCTGTGTGAGAGTGGGAAGCAGAGGGCCAGGGTGGGAATCCTGTAGGGCAGCAGTGGCCCTGACGCCTGTGTCATGAAAATATGCCTCAAGTTAACTATTGTCCTCTGACCTCAATCCATGCTGAAACAGGGGCTTTGCATAATCGTGGAAGGAGACGGTTCCTGCTCCAAAAGATGTTATGTTTTGAATTGCCAAAATAGACAAAGGAGATATTGTCAGCCCTTCACACATGGGAAGGGGAGGCAGGGAGAGGGAGCTTTGTCTGGGGCACACAGGCTGATTTTGACAGAAGGGGTGCTTACACTCAAGTTTCCTGAATTCATCTGTGTACTACAACCACAAGATCACCCTTCCTTTCTAATATATTTTTTTTCTCCCTAAAACTTCAGTTCTAATACAGGCTTGTTTATCAAAGGCATGATTTCATTTTGCTGTGTTTAATAAATAGTTTAGTGATTCTTCCCTCAGACAAAACGGTGCTGCCTGCGTGCAGATCCGAGCTGCAGCTCAAGTGCCTCAGGGAACTCCGAGTGGATTTTCACTTGGGGAACTCCAAGGACAAGGATACAAGGAAAGGCAGAGGTGTGACTTTGGCCTCTGCTCTTCTGTGTTCTCCTGGGGATCACAACCCCACGGCTATGTGGAAGTGGAGCCTGCCAGAGTAGCAATGCTGACCTGCCCAGCTTCACATGGGAAGAGAAAGAAGAGAAACAGCATACTAACTAGAAGGTCCATTTCTCTTGCTCAGGCTTGTTAACTCCAGGAAGGCCAGTGAGACTTGGCATTGCATGACCACACTGGGGCTGCTTGGGTTTTTTACGATGCAGTATTGAGTGGAACCATCTGGGCTGGGAGAAGACCATGCTTCTGAAATGAGCTTTTAGGAATACTGAAGTTAAGTAGCTGTCTGGGGCACCATGCTGAAAGGAAGGGCACTTAGAGCTGCATGTATTTTATGGGTTTATTTTATCTTTGATGACAAAAGAGAACTCACTAGTCATGGGGTTCCTCATAAATTTCAAGCCACTGCTGACAAGTGGCACTGTCTGTGTTCTCATCCACACTGGTGCAAAGTTCCCCCCAACTTTCTGGCTTGGGATGTTAGTAACGATGCAGCTAATGGGTGATGCTTTAGAGAAATACCTAACTTTTCTCTGAACTTAAGGGCCATCCCCAAGTTAGTGTTTGAGAATGGAAACTTTGGTACCTTAAGTAGCTTGGGTGAATATTTCCATGGTCATTCATGTAACACTGAAGTTTCTCATCTCTGTGGCTCCTGAGGCACCAGTCTTCCTGAGGGTGTGCTGTTTACTGAGGGAGTCTGCACCTCAGATGATAATAATACCCTTCCAGAAAGCTAAATACAGGTCTGGGATCATAACTTACAGTATGTCAGTGGTATGTCTCAACTCAGGCATTTTAAACTATTCTTTTGCATTGCAGTCTCTGTTTGGGTGGGGGTGGTTTTTTGTTATTTATGTCCTATTGGGGTAGCATCCTAAAGTACCTCCAGGGTCCTGGTTCCACTGCCTGCATTCCAATTTCCAAAGACAGATCTTATTTCTGTGTTGGGAGGCAAGCTACCCTCCTTCAAGCACTTTTCTGTGTGACAGACCAGAAACAGGGCACATCAAATTCAACATAATTTCAAAAAATGTAACCTATTTTCCTATGTTTTCTATTCACTGAGATGGATCTTAGAGAGAGATGGCTGAAGTAAAATATTCACTAGTGCATCACCTCAACTAAGATGATAGCTCTTGTAGTGTAAAGAAAGAAATACTTGCCCCTTAACCTTTTTCCAGCCCATGTCCTGTTCAGGCTGTCTTGGCTTCAACAGACCCTAGAAGCTTTGTTTTAGATTTATTAATCTGATTTACTAATAGACTCCTATTAGTTAGAGAGAGAGAGAGAGAGAGAGAGAGGAGACAAACTGGACTCAGGCTTATGGGAATCAGGTTCATGCCAGCCCTCTCACAGGCACCCATTTGACTTTACACACATCGGTCAATATTTGTGGTTCCCTTCTCTACAAAATGCAGATACTAATTCTTCTTTTTCCCCCTCTCCATACTTGTGTAGGCTGCAGGTTTGGACAGGAATCAGCTCCTCCTGTGTCTTTGGATACCTCACAAATGAGTCCTGATCTTAGGTGAAACTTTAGTTGCTTCTGTAAGCCACATAATAGTAATTGATTTCAACCTGCTTCAGGAAAAAATGCGACCTTTGGATTACTTTGGTGTAAATAAAAAGTCCACTCCAGTTCACAAGTCAAAAAATGCTGGTAGTGTTTAGCATCAATGTCTGTCGCTTGAACATCTGGCATTCATCACTGCTTTCCTTTGCCTTCCACTGTCATATTTTATCCCCATCTGTTAGAGGTTTCTTAGCACTGTCTATATAAATCATAACTGCATCTCAGTCTGGGTAGTGGAATCTTTACAGGCTGCAATGTAAATGAAAGAAAAAGAAGTAAATTTAAGGGAAGTGCTTCTCTTATGCACTCTGGTCCCCTTCCTTCTCCCCTCTCCCTGTACACAGACAGTACTAGACAGTATTTCTGGACAGAGTGATACCCGTGCTATGATGAGAGAGGGAAAAGTTTCCAAAAATAGAAAATGTTTTTACCAGCCCTAGTTCTGAAGGCAGAAAGCAGGAGAGGAGTTGGAGCCAGAGTGGACACCCATTGCCATTGTTGGAAAGACCAGAAGGTACTGCTTTGGAACAACCCCTCAGCAAGTTAGTAATAAATTGGGAAAGCAAACGTTCCTTAAAATCAGACTTCACAGGCAATGTCTTTGATGTGTTTTCTTTAAATTAAATTACTCTTATTGCAGTAATTTAGGTTATTGCCAGGAAGAATAATATTGAAGGTGCTGGAAAAATATTGATGCGTTCATGTGAGCCAAAGCAGAGTTTTTTCAAGTTTTTTTTTTTTCCCTAAAATGTGCCGTGCCCTCACCATGGCCATCACATGCAGCTCTCCCAAACCACGCTGGCAGGGCAGCAAGCCACAGCAGCATTCCAAAGGTGTATTTCTGATGGGGAAACAGTCCCTCCAGCACCCCTGTAGGAAACACTTCCAGCAGTGTGTTACCCTGCCAAAGCCAGGGGCTCCATTGTGCACAGTGTCACACAGCCTGATGTGCTAGGGCACGTGTGGGTTGAATTCCCTGCCAACTTTAGCAGCTAGAGAAGGCATTGCCTTGTTCTGTGAACACGTGGAGGCAGCACAGTCCCAAGCTACTGGAAGTTAGGGGGAAGTGCCCATTTCCCTCTGTCTGGAGAGGTCTGTTGCAGATGGCCATCGCTATCAAGCGTGCGGCTTTGCCGAGGATTGAGGTGAGCTGAAGCTGGAGGGTCTCTTTGTACAGATAGCTGTCATGGTTTCAGTCCAAGGGACAGCTTGTATTGTAGGGGACTTCATTATACTTGGAGGAGCAAGAATGCCCCATGTCATTATGTGTGTTCCTCCTGATTGTGCTGCTTCTTCCTTCTGTTTAATCTTGTGTCAGAAGTGGTCTTAAGTTTGTGTGGATTGATAGCAGATTAGCTGAAATTAAAAAAAAAAAGATTGCCTCTGTTGCTGGTTGTCAACTCATCCTTCTCTTTCTACAAAGCATACTGCTCTGCTGATTTCCCACTAGTTTGCACTTAGGTTCCTGTGGTGTTATCCTGCTGCTCACTGCAGAGTCCCAGATTTCGGCTCGGCAGCCAGATCAGTCAAGCAGTAGGTGTCCTGGTCAGCATCTGCATGGAGTGGAAACGATAGGCCAACTCTTGAACAGACCAGTTGCTGGGCTGTCCTGCAGAGCAAGTCCTGGCTGATTCAGAGGCACACGGTTGTGTGAAAGGCCAGGCAGGCCCTGAAGTCAAAGCTGATCTCTGACACTGGTAGACTGGTTCAATCCTAATGTCTTGTTCTGACACTGCAGTCTGGTGCTGGAAATGGATGTCCCAGCAAAAGCATCACTACTTGGCAAGGCTAAAGTGGTGGCCAGTGAGAAAGAGAAACATGGGTCTGATGTTGCACAAACAACTTCACATGAGATACTACGAGGAGAAAATAATCCAAGGGTGCAGTGGAATGGGTGCTGTGATGTTGATTTACTCTCGTCTCTTTGGCATCTGCACTAGCTCTCAGCTTGCCAAGCGTCTTTCTTGTTGCTAGCAGAATATTTACTTTGTTTTCTCTTCTTCTCACAGAAAGTTTTACTACATCACACTGCTGAGAGACCCCGTATCTCGTTACCTCAGCGAGTGGCGTCACGTCCAGCGAGGAGCTACTTGGAAGACCTCCCTGCACATGTGTGATGGCAGGACACCAACTCCTGAAGAGCTGCCGTCGTGCTACGAGGGCACGGACTGGTCGGGCTGCACGCTGCAGGAGTTCATGGATTGCCCCTATAACCTGGCCAACAACCGCCAAGTGAGGATGTTGGCCGACTTGAGCTTGGTGGGCTGCTACAACATGTCTTTCATCCCCGAGAACAAGCGAGCACAGATCCTGCTGGAGAGCGCAAAAAAGAACCTCAAAGACATGGCCTTCTTCGGCCTGACAGAGTTCCAGAGAAAGACTCAGTACCTGTTCGAGAGAACTTTTAATCTGAAATTCATCCGGCCCTTCATGCAGTACAACAGCACCCGGGCAGGAGGGGTGGAGGTGGACAACGACACCATCCGGAGGATCGAGGAGCTCAATGACTTGGACATGCAGCTCTATGACTATGCAAAGGACCTCTTCCAGCAGCGCTACCAGTACAAGCGGCAGCTGGAGAGGATGGAGCAGAGGATAAAGCATCGGGAAGAGAGGCTTCTTCACCGGTCCAACGAAGCGCTTCCCAAGGAAGAGACCGAGGAGCAAGGACGCTTGCCCACTGAGGACTACATGAGCCATATTATAGAGAAGTGGTAGCCTAGGCAGACTTTTATATTAATGATATTCTAGGGTTTCCATATAAAAGATCGTGGAAGTAAAAATACAAAAAAAAAAAAAAACAAAAACAAACAAACAGACAACAAAAAAATATTTTATTTAAAAGCAAGTCTGTAAAACAGAAGATAGATTGCTTCCTTCAGCGTAGGGCCTTTTTACTGTTTCTTACAAGACCGATGAGATTCTTAAAAAAAATAAAAATAAAAGGGTCAGCATGACAATGCAGAGGTAAAAAATGCACAAATGCAGTTACCCACTTTTAAGGCCAGCTACAAAAGAATGTTTCTTATCCTCGCAATTCAAACACAAATGGCAGAAGTAGGATTTTTTAAACCTGTTTATCCCCTGAGCGTCATGATATAAAGATACATAATTAAAACCCAAGGAAACGGGTGTTTTCTTTTGTGGATGTTTTTGGAGGTGGGATGGGAAATGCAGAGCTTGTGAGTAAATGGTAACGGTGACTTGAGATGGGCTGTTTGTCAGGCTGTGATCTGAGCACAAGGGCATCGCTTGGTTCCAGCTGGAAGCCACTGCCAGAAAGTAGAGCAACGTAAAAATAAAAGAAGAAAAACATCAGAGGATGAGAAACATTAAAGCAAATTGACTATGGCTATGTACTTATCACAGTGGTTTGGATACATGGCACTGGTATCACATATACATACGCAGCTTCATCAGAAAATGAGAGGGAATTCATGCACAGAGCTCCCAGATGTGTTTCACAGGCAGGTCTCAAAACAAGTTGAAAGCTGAAAAATTCTGCATAGGCTCAAACATGCACTCACATGCCAGCCTGTCACCCTGCACAGCGGCCGTGGCCAGCGTTATGCATTGCCAGCACATGGAAACCCTAGCCTACATACTAAAAGAGAAAAAAAAGAAGTTGTTAAATAGCAATTCTCCCTCATAAATCTGCACGACAAGTTGCAGGAAGACCCTGCAAATAATCAGTCATTCATGGGAACGTGATGAGGGGGTGATTTTGTTTTGTTTTGTTGCTATGTGAAATACTGAACTAGAACAAGCATACAGATGTACCCATATGTGTATTTTTTCAGTTATTTTTACTTGCTTTTATCAAGAGATAATGGGCATCAGCCTGCTTCCAGTGAAGTCACTAGAACTGATTTAAGTGGGAACAGGATGGGGCTCTCTTCCAGAGCTGTGAAAATTTCTGACTATGGGTCTGAATTAATTATGAGACAGTGCACATTGTCTTTTGGCAGAGTGCCTGTTCTGCAGCTCTTACTTTAAATGAACAAGCTGTGTTCATAAAACTGGAAACGGGAATCATGGATAATGTTTTTTTAGTCTCAGACCATTTTCAAAGCAGAACTCTTTCAATGCTGTTTTTTAGGGACTCATGTAAGTTTAATCCTCCAGTGTGGTGACAGTCTAACCAGGTTCTGCTTACTGACTTTTGAGTCATAGAACAACAATGACTTCTCTAATTCCTCTTCCCACTCACCAAATTAAAGTATGGCTTATTTTCTTGCTGTTGCAAGCAATTCTTTGTTTGGCTGGAAGCATGGAAATGAAGCAGTTGTTGCCTGTTTCATGTCTCACCCCGTTATTACTCAGCCTGTAAGACCTGAACCAGCTATTGTTTAGGGTAAACTATGAACCAAATGGAGTATGATTTGATTTTCAAAGGCCATATTAACTGCAGATCAAATATGGCATTCAAATCACTGGAGGAGAGGCAGAGAGCTGATGCATTCAACTTTAGCATGTCATTTTTACAGTGTCCCTTTCCCATCACATGAATCCACTGAAGTGCTGCTTGGTTTGTATTTTAATTCTCTCTCTGCCTCTGTACACTGTTCCCAGCAGTTTTAAATTCAGGCTGAGTTTTGCAAAGGAGGAGCTGCCTTAAGCAGAGGAGCTGCCTCGTTTCTTCTGTGTACACCCCGGGGACACACCTTGCTTTTGGAGATGCTCTTCCCCAGAAGAGTAAAGATGACTAAAAATTTAAGGACAGAAAATGCAGGCAGCACTTCAGGCTCAAATAGAACCCTGTTACAGCCCCGATCCAAAATGCACCGAAGCTGAAGGATGACTTTCCTATTGATTTCAGCTGGATTGTGATTGGATCTGCACCCTGGTGCTGCAGAGTGCCCAAGCCCACACTCAGCACAAGCACAGGGGGACGTTGTTCCCCATGCATTTGGCTGGTCTCAATATTTGCTAGTGGTGTCACTGTGTTTAAGGTTCTGCCACAAAATGACCCCTGTTGCCTGAGCTGTGCAGCTTGGCCATAAGCGTTTCCTGGTGGCTGAAGAGTGGGAAGCAGTTGTCAGTTGTTGTCTGGGGGGCAGAAGGAATTACAAACGCCTTTGCTCATCTCGGAATTCCAAGACTGGGAGGAGCTATATCTGCTAGTTCCCAGCACTTTTATGTGTTGCTGTAACTAAAGAAAGCATTTATGTTTTAAAAATGCAGTTTTACAGGCTGTTTACCCACAAAACCAATACAGAAGATATAAAAAGCAACTGGTTTATATGCAGAGTCTCCAGCTTTCCCCAAAGGCTGTTCACTGTGCATCCTGCGTTATGGATCCATGAGACACAAATGCCCCACTGCCGACTGCTCAGCCAGTCTGTGCCAAAGGCCAAACTCTGCTCTCATGGGTATGACTCTGGATGATTAGGACCAGCATAATTTGGCCCAATTTGCCCCGGTGGTGTTTGTGTTATGGGCTCTGAGTAACCCGCTGGATTTTAATGGATCTGTCTGCAGCGTTCTCTGTATTGGAGGCAGCCTCTGACCCTAGAAGCATGTCAGTAGAAGACCTTGTTCCAACATTTTCTTTGTAATATAATACAGTAACAAGCAAAAGAAATGAAACTACGTTGAAAACTGTCTTGTTAACAGTTTCACTTCAACCCACAGAAGGAGGGCTGACCTCAGTTTAGCACCGAGGCAAAAATTGGTAGATTCAAACCCTGTGCTTGGCAAACGCTTCAGTTCCTCCAGCCACACATGGGGAATAAGGAATTCATGCACTCTGAAGAGGTACTCAAGGTATGAAAAGCACAGGGCACTCTGAAACAGATCCTAAGTATTGGAAATGAAGAGAATGACCCAAAAGCCATCCCTCAGCTGCTGTGCTGGTCTGTTCATGTTAATTTATTGTCAGTGCTGTGTGCCAAGCTCGGGCTGCAGGATGTCCCTGGCACTACCTTCTTCCTCTAGTGGGTGTAAGGGAACGTTTTTAACATCCTGTGAATGTAGTTTTTTGTGATTTACATGTACTACAGTTTGAAGTGGTACAATTTCTTTTGTTTCTAGGATTGATTAGTTGATGCTACAATAACATGAGAAACGTGTCTGTAGTTTTAAAATGAGTGGAGAACAACAGCTTTAAGGCACTCCAGCACAAGTAGTGGCCCAATAGTACATTTTTTTGTTCAATATCTGCCCCTTTCTTCCAAAATGGTTTTTCTGTGACTTCCAGGTGCACTTCACTACCTGAAGTTTCTCTGCAGGGGGCCTGTCAGTCAGGATTACAGCCTGTATCTTACTGGAGTTGGTGAGGCAGTTCCCATTGAGTTCAGGTTTTATCTAGTTGGACACTTGTCCATCCCCCAGTGTTTCGGCCATGGTTCCAGGGATACCCTGTGAAAAACCTTTACAAAAGGTATTTCTAAGGGTTTACACAGTCAGCAGGCTCCATTTCTGCTTTGGAAGGGTGGAAAGGCCAAGACATGCTGCAGTGCTAAGAAAGGTGAGATCTTTTTTTTTTGCATTTAGGCAGCTGAACAGTGTTAACTTCACCACCAGTGTGAATTTCTGACTTGCCTGAATTTCTGCTCTTGTGCTCAACATTTTGGAATAACTGGGGAGCACTTTCAGGTTGATTGTTTTGCACCCCATAGCCCCTTACTTGCTTATAAAACTGAGGTGGCAATGAAAGCAGCACGAGGAAGATTCCAACAGTCTTTTTGAATCCTCACTGCAGGGCTGTCCTGTAGGAGCAGAAAGGGCAGCACAGTTGCTGAGAGTATGAGCCAGGCAGAAGGACCACCACAGCAGCAGTACAGACACCTGTGTCAGTTAGGAAGTTTTCACTCTGAGCCCATCGAATCACTTCACAGAGACCAGCAAGCAGCTACAGAAGGTAATGACTAGCGTTACAGAACAGGGCCTGGCTGAGATTTAGATTTTTCCTGGGGTTAAAAGCATCTCTGGCTTCTTCCTGTTATTTACTCAGCCCCTCTCCTGACCCATAGAATTTTCCAAAAGTCACAAAAATGGGTAGTCGCACTATGGGAGTTTGCAACACAGCCTTTGCTAAATGTATTTCTGGGGCTCGAGCTTGGAACACAACCCACACTATCTGCTGGATTCATACCCAGGGCTGGCTGCACTAGCTTTTTGTTCCCGATTTCAGCACTCTCGGCAGCTCGTGTTGCAGGAGCAGAGGCAGAGTGGCTGCCC